TTTCTACGCCGCCTGGATACCAGAAAGCATATATGAAGCGACAATATTTGCTCGATCTCACGGAGCGCCTCCTCCTCCTTTCGCCCCGTTTTTCCGCGCGCTTGTTTGCCAAAGCAGCGAGAGAAATCCCCTCGCGATACAGCGAGCCGAGTTGGTGATATTTCGTGGCGAGGGCTACTTTGCTCTTTGCCCGGTTAAAAAAATACGCGTGGCTCGTTAATCTTTATAAGATCGAAGGGAAGGTGCTCCCCCTCTTTTTTTTTCTTTCTTTCTTTTTCAGAAAGGAGGCCGTGTAAATAATGGGTATACGCCTCGTAGTTTCCCCCTCGTCGCTCTTCTGGGACACGGTACTTCTCGTACGCCTGCCACATCCATTAACCTATTGCCACTCTTCCCTTCCATATCCGTCGATTCGTTCCATCCAAAGCGTTTAAATTCTTCGCGTATCGCGAGCTTTATCTTTTATCTCCCCAGAGACGCTTCTTTCTGAATTTTAAACTGGATTAAAAAACGATTCAAAGTCTCTCTCTCTCTGTGTTGCAAATTCTTATTAGAAAATTCTTACTTCTTTATCGATCCCCATTTTTACGAGAGACGCGCTCGAAATCTCTCCCGTCGAGGATTCGACACGTGGGACACAACGAAAGGAACGCGTCCCATCGTGCATCCACTTACGCGTGGCAAACAATCGGCCACGGTTAGCCTGCGATTATTGATCGGATTCCCAAGCTTTCGTCGGCCGTGAAAAGTGGGCGTTGGCCGTGTCGCGTGACACGGGGAGAGTGGCCACGGCTGAAAGAGGGAAACATCGGTGGTAAGAATCGATTCGACCGGATATTCCACGTCGTCGAAAAGGGGATCGTACTCTGAAAGCCCGATCATGCTCGGTTCAATAGGGGACTGCGAGCTTTCAATTCCGATTCAAGAGAGCCTGCTTCGTGTGTGTGTGTGTGTGTGTGTGTATATATATTTATATATACGCGCGTGTCGTTGTCTTGGAACGTCGTGCGTGCAACAATCACCGGCATCCACTGTCCACTGTTATTTTAATCGTCACCGCCACGCTTCGCCAAATGGGTTTCCCGTGTACTTCGACCAGTTTACCGGTCGTTAACTGCAACCCTCCCCCTTTTTCTCCTTTCTTTTTCTTTTCTTTCCTCCTCGTGGCCTCCTTTCCTTCCCACGTCGCGGAGAAATTACGAACGGTCGACCCGTATCCACGAGTTTCATTCCTTGCCTCGCGATCGTTATTGAAATACGCGCATCATCCCCACAAGGGGATCACGGTTAACGAGCCTTTTTGTTAAACCCAGTTGGATATCTCGCGCGGAGGAAATGAAAAGACAAATAAATTCTTCTGCCGACTCTTCGTTTAAAAATCTTCTTGCACCCGCCTCGTGATCGAATTATTTCACGAATTATTTCAACGCTCGTCCACTTTGAAATATCCGTATCTATCTGGGTGGAAGTGGAAACGGAAAATCTTAGCTCTGAACAGTTTTTCAGAGAGATTTGTCTTCCCTCGACGGGAGAAATATAATAATTCCTTGATTAATTTGCCGAAGGTTAAACAACTTGGTGTAAAATATTTTGTAAAAGATGAAATTGCTTGGGAAAATTTATACGCGCGGATATTTTATCAATGATTCGTTTCCTCTTCTCGAAATTTATTCCTTCCTCGAACGCTTGCAACCGTCTCGCGTAATTCGAGCTTGGCTCCCGTTGTCGATTCGCATCCAAGTAGAATCGGGCAACAAAAATGTCGTTCCAAAGAAGGAATTCGCGTAGATGAACGAGCGCGATAATTACAGTTGGAGAAAAGTTTTCCACGCGTGGCTGTCGTGTCATTTTCACGTCATGATAAAATCGGTTCGAACCGGGTTTCGTCAGTTAATTATTGTTTCTTTTTCCCTCTGAACGCGCTCAGATCGATTTTAATTCGATTTCAGAGAAGCAAACAACGATAAAGAGATTTAGTCGCATAACGTTGGCCAATTCTTGCAACTTTGTCGCTCTATAAACGCTCGACAATTAGATCTCGCCTTCTTTTGTATCGTAGAACGAGGAGAGTTTATTTTACGCGACTCGGCTAGTTTAACGCATCCTCCCCCTACCCATGTTTCCATCGAGGATCCATGAAAAGATCTGACAAATTTTCCTGACATTCTTTTTCATCTTCGACCTTGTCTTACTTCCGTTACTTCCGTTTCGTCCGATCTTCAAATCCCTTTCGAGCTTCCACCGTCTCTGTCTCTTATTTGCCAACCTTAAAATCGGAAGAAAGAAAGGAAAGGAAAACCTTTCTCTCCCATTTTCTTAATAAATACACCTTACAGCAAACAAAAAAATCATATAAGAAAGAGAATACCCCTTCCCTTAGTGAAATTACAACGTCGATATTCGGTTGATAATAACCGAATGCGAGGACGAGCAGCCTCGTGTGGCTGGCCGACCGATAACAAATTAATTATAGTCTGAACGGAGAGGAGGAGAAGGAGGAGGAGGAAGGAGGAGGGTTTGGAACACGTATATTTAGTCTATAGACAACCGTCGATCGAGGTAATTACAGCTGAAATTCAGGGGCCGGGCTATATAAGCATGTAACACGAATGTAATAACCAAGGAGGACAATGCGGCTCCCTCCCCTCGCCCAATGGTGGGTGCGGGCCGCCTATATGCGAGAGGGAGGAGGGGGCTCGGGTCGGACAATCGCGTAATTGTAGCGCATTGATCCGATCCTGAGAAGATGACCTCGGGAGGTTGGAGAGAGAGAGAGGTTGGTGCGAGGCGAACCTCTCGGCCCACCTCGAGACACGATTGATTGCTTGCGATCAGATTATGGCAATTAATGGCTCAAGCGCTATGTGTATCGCTCGCCACCGCTTGTAAATTAGTTCCGGTTCCGGGGCTGGGAAACACAGCCGGAATTCAACTTCTATCTAACCGCAAGTAGCGCGGACGAGCGACTCCGTCCATACGGAGATACGTGTCCGT